AATACCTTGACTTTAATGTTATTACATTTATAGACACACTGTTTTCATCTTTCATTTTTATTTCTCATTTAAGCCATGCAGAATTCATCAGTGACATGTCACTTAGCAACCTAAACCTGGAGGTTTTAAGGGATGCATAGACTAAAACAGTGTTTAGTAGCAACTTCTCTTATATGTTCAACTTGAACTAATAGCATTTCATCCATTTAGCTTCTTAATTTCTCAAGAGTCCACTAAAACGCAATGTTTTTCCATAATAAATTAATAATAGGATTACTTGCAAATGAAACACAAGGAGCCAGAAACCAAAACAGCAAACACAGGAGCCCAGAAAACAACTCAAAACAACCAAACAAACAAGGTCCACAAAAGGTGCAGGAGGCCATGAAAACAGTTCCGAAAAAAAGTTCAGGGGGCCGGCCTGGAGGTAGACAGCACAAGGTCCAAACCCGGGCAGTTCAGGAGGCCGACCGTGTGAAAAGCAACAGCGGCGAAGGAGGTCCGGAGACCGGCCGCGCGGAAGGCAGCGGCAGCGGCGGCGACGCAGTTCAGGAGGCCATCCACGATGGCAATGAAGTCCAGTCATCAGCCTGGAAGGTGGCTGGCGATGTTGAGGTGCTGGACGTGGACTGGACGGCGCTTGGCAGCGGCAGGACCAGGTGAGGCAGGACCAGGCAACGATGGCGTGGGAGCTGCTGATGGTGGCGCTGCAGGTGACGGCGTGGGAGCCGCAGATGGTGGCGCTGCAGGCGACGAAGACTGGACGGGCCCTCGGACCCTCCAGCGGAGACAGAAAGGCAGGAAGGCAGAGGAGCAGGCTCAGCAACAATTGACTCAGCTAAAATAGGTTTTAACCCCTTTTCACCATGATTAACAGTTTTCAAAATCCTAGGTTTAACAGTCTTAGAGTGAGCTGACTTGGGGATGACTGAACCAGACCTGACAAAACCTGAACTGACAGAACCTGAACTGAATGTCTTAGTACTAGTAACATTGCTCACAGTTTTAACAGGGTTCATAGTCTTAAGCTGAGGATTATTGTCCTTGATTCCTCCCTGCTCAGAGGGAGCAAAATGAAAAAAACGTTTCCCAGTCTACGTCATCATCCAAAAGGGAAGTTCCCCACGGATCAGAGGTGAGTTTATTACTCTTAACGTCAGATGGGACGTGAGAATAGGAGAGAAACACAGCTGGGGCAAATCAGGCCTAACGAAACAGGGGAAGCAAAACCAGACACATTAACATAAGACATGCACCTCCAAAGTAAAACAGGAAACATAACACAGACTGAACTACAGACACAGATTCTGACTGGACACAGGGAGACAGCAACTATGGAACAGAACAGAAACCAGAAGACAACTCTGACAAAGAAACCAAAAAACTAGAAATGATAAATGATATAATAAACTCAAAACTCTGGGTCAACGACCCAGGCATCCTAACAATTACCTTATTGTGTGTGTATAACCTCTTTTTAAGTTTTGTGAATATTATACACAGTTATGCTGAGGATTGTCGGCCAGTTTCCACTGGAAATGCCTTTTGGTTAAATTGTCAGCAAGGAATTTGCATTTGCACTGTTAAATTTTTATATAACTTCCATGCACATAAAAAACAGCTGCTTGTTTAAGTGAAAATACACTGATGTTTTTTTTTTTTTTGCACTAATAAAGTTGTGGAGTTGTAAAGTATTTTGTCTAGTGTCAATTATATCGTCAGTTATATCATTATTGCAAATTTTCAAATGTATATCGCGATAAATATTTTTGGTCATATCGCCCTGCTCTTCTTGCAATAATTAATCTAATTGATCTAATGATTATATAGACACATATATAGGTGCAACATTGTATTTCATCACGCTGAATGATTTTCAAACCTGCTCACGATTATTCCTGCTTTTGAGAGCGTTGACTCTCCTCATTATGCTATCATAAAGTGTGATTATTAATATAATTACTCAGTTCATTTAGTTATATGAACAGTAGCAGGTGGGCGTTTGCAGTATTTCCACACGCTGTAGCGTTGACCTTGTGCAGTTAACCATGACAAGTGTATTAAATATACTGACATTCTTACAGAAGTGTGTTGTTATGCGCTCTCCTATCGATTTTCAGTGAAAGTCCTCTTAGGAATGTCAAAGTGTTATACTTGTCAGAGAGAATATATTGATATGCTTGCCATGTGCTTGCAAACATTTCCAGTTCACAGCAAGGAGAATCTTATCATGGTGTCTGACTTTGTCAACACTATTAAATTTAGAGAGAGTCTATGATTAATAACTTCCACATAAGGAGAAAATAGGAAGACGCGCAGGCTTGAAGGCTTACAGAAAGATTAATGAGTGTCAAAAACAATGAATTTTCCATTAGATAGTAGATTGTCATACATTACTTGTGTGATCTTCCAGGTTTCCTCATCAGATAAGTTTGTTCAAGGATCATCAAAAAATTATCCATTTTTTATAGATAAAAATTTTGTCCCTTGTGCACAAGTCAGAAATATTACTTTTTCCAAAATACCACAACTAGCAATCTAATCATAGTTTTTATTGAACATTTGACCTGACTATTAAGAGAGAACAAATACGAATGTGCAGAACTTGCCTTGTGAAGGCTGGTTGCAAAGGGGAAAAAAGGACTGATTACAGGACACTCTTTTAATTTCAGCAGCATTATTTAAAACACACATGCACACGCAAGAACACGGGAAGTGTCATGCCTCTCTAAGACCTTTCTCTGCAACTGTGTTATTATTGTTACCAGCGATGGCCAGCTGATATCAAATATCAGCAATGGGGAAAACAAACACGCAGCATTCATGAGCATGTTGAATACTAATGCAACTTTGAGTAGCAGAAAAATGATAAGAAGTGAAAAATTATTCTTCACAACAAGAGAATCAAATGAGGCATGCATAGCGTGAACAATGCCACTGGCACCAGCAGCTGGAAAGGGATAGTGGTCTGTTGGATATTTCCCATAATAGACCAGATGTGTCAGCATACAGTACATTTGTGGACCAGAGAAGAGTGGTAAATTGTATAAGTGAGGCTTTCTTGACAATTTCAGAAGTGCTTTTTTTGAGTTATTTTCTCTGTCCACAAGTAGCAGCGCATTGCATGACCTTTAGTCTGTGAAAATCTGGGAGAAATTTGTAAGTAAAACATTAATTTTCAAACAAAAATAAATCACTAATGCCAAAATAAATAAAAAAAATAAGAAAAAAAATAAATTACAAATGCTTAAACGTTTTTGTTTATCCTTCTGTTCTTTCTAATGCAGACTTTGGACTGTGTAAACTGCACCTTAACATCAGGTTCCACAGATTTTTCAGGTTCTAGTTACATTCCCTGAGAAATCAGACTTCAGCTTATAATAGCGTAATAGTTTCAGTTGTTGCCAGGATATCCAGTTCAAAACCGATTTTTGGTGAGGTGGACACTAAGGAAGGAAAAAAGGAATTTTATCAGTTGGTTACGTAGAGAGATTGAGCTGGAAAGAATCTGCTGTGGGTTAGGGTGGTTAAGAATAGAGATAGAGATGTGTGTAAAGAGCATACTGGGTACGTGTAAGCAGTATTTTGAGAATAATGAATGCAGAAAATGGGAGAGCGAGGAGGACAGAATCCAGAGAATTAGTAAGGAGGAAGTAAGAGCAGCTGTGAAGAGGATGAAGACCGAAAGGCAGTTGGTCCAGATGACATACCTGTGGGAGGTACAGTATGTATATGTCTAGGGGAGATGTTTGCGATGATTAAAGCTGGGTGACATACAGCATTATCTTGCTGGCAGCAGTAATCAAGGGAAAGATATGGTCGCCAACAATACTCAGGTAGCCTGTTAAACCATTGTTCAGTTGGTACTAAAGGCCCCAAAATGTCCCAAGGAAATATCCATGACACCAACCACCACCAACCTATACTGTTGACGATTTCATGTTTTCATATACTTTTGGCCAAATTCTGATCCTACCATCTGACTCTCGCAGCCGAAATTAAGACTCATTAAACCCAGCAACATTTTTCCAATCTACTATTGTCTGGTTTTGTGAGCCCGTGTGAATTGTAGCCTCAGCTTCCTGTCCTTAGTAAGTTAAGCTTGGGAGTGGCACCCAATGTGGTCTTCTGCTGTAGCCCATCTGCTTCAAGGTTCAACTTGTTTCCATTCGGTGATGCTTTTCTTGCATACCTTAGTTGTAATGAATTGTCATTTGAATTATTGTTACCTCGTCATCTCAAAGCATTCTAGCAACCCTCCTCTGACTTCCAGCATCAACAAGGCATTTACACCCAGAGAATTGCCACTTAATGGATATTTCCACTTTATTGGACAATTCTCTGTAAACCCTAGTGATATTTGTGTGGAAAAATCCCAGAAGATCATCACTTTCTGAAATACTCAGACAGGCACTTTTGGGGATTACATACTCACCTCTTGTACTCATGTGATGACATCAAATAACTGCTTTGCATAAAATGATTACATTAGTTGGCTTTAACTTGATCCAAAGACCCTTGGTGTTTTACTGTCCTAACAGATGCTGCTGTAAAGCTGTATTTAGTATTTAATCTTGTCATATGCAACACTATTGCCAGAAAAAATAGGCAGTTACAGTTGCCATAACTATATTGGAGTGTTCTGACTTTCGTTTGACTTTAATTCTAAGTAACTACATTACTTGGGACAGGAGCTACAGATGCATGTTTTAATGAAGGATTAATGGTACAAATAAGGTTGTAATAGAGTTAAAACTGATAAAGATGTAATAGTCAAGTCTTTTCTGTTTCTTGGTAATGTATTGGTGATAACACTTGACACATCATCAAGTTATGTTATAAATGAGTACTGAGTATCCTACTCCCATTTCCATATTAACAACATTTAATCTTATACTTCCTGTCACCATGGAGCAAATAATCATTATGCTATCAATTGTATTCCTTCACACTACCTATCTAACTTCCTGTCTCCTTCCTTTACCCCCTCATGCTATCAGTGGCTGGGACAAAAAGCAAAGCTAGAGGTGAGTTATTGCCTCCATTTTCTTGCTACATGATTTATGTTGCACGCAGTTCCCAATAAACAATGTTTGGATCACCCTTTTATCTCCACCAAAAGCCTAGCAAGCATTAACATACGCTGCTCCTCCTGAACCATTCTGGGCATTTTTTTGTTGTCGTTGTTAACCTTTCTTTCTCCAGGAAAGGTTTGTTGAACATCCTTGCTGTTTTCAGATACAACCTTCTTCACGTATGTATAGATTTCACACTGAAGTGCTGCCTGCCTCACCCAGCCATGCTTTCCTGCATTTGGCCTCTGTGCAGCTCATCTGGAGCAGCTGGGGGTGGTTTCCAGTTCAAGGACACCTCATATTTAGGGGGATCATTTCTTATTTACTCATCCTCGACAGATTTTCTTAGCTGTATTGCACATTCAAACAGGAGATGTTCTGGTAACCAACTTTATTTTTTTTTCACCTCTGACCATCAGTATTTTACACTTTTTCAGATAAATATGTTCACTTCAATGAGTCTTATCTATTGCTTATTAAAATCTGCTTTCAAATGCATTATTAATTTAGATATTTGGTAATTTTAACAATGTTTCTTTAAGTTCAACATACATTTTGTGTTATTGGACTTTTTTGTTTGTTAGTTTGCTAGCATTTTTTTTTCATTATCTAGGTGTTACATAGATATTATTTGCTTTATGTCTACCTTACCATTTTTTATTGGAATCCCTCACTACAATCATACACTCATACATTAATTAGTTCTCAGTCTATTTGTTTTGCTGTTTGTGGTTGTTTTTTCTTTTACATATCCTCAACCAAACTAAATGATTAATTTTTTAATTTTGTTTTTTTCTTAAAATGAATGTTAAGCCCCACACTCCCTCCTGGAAAATACTGTCTTTTCTAATTACCAAGGAGGTTTTTTTTATAATTAACAGAAGATACACATTTAGCCTTTGTACCCGTAGAATGGGACAGGCTTTTTCAGCAGCACCTTTGTAGCTGATTAGTTGTTGATTATATATTATATATGTGTGTGTGTGCGTGTGCGTGTGTGTGTGTGTGTATGGGTTCATATATATGAACCCATGCATCAGTCTTGAATATTTATTAATGGATTTTGTAATGCTGTAATGCATGCTGATGATTGCTGTGTAATTCATGGAATAACTGTAAGAAGTCAGTATAAAAGATCCTCCTAGCAGGCATCATTATAATGGAAAACATGCCTCTTGGCTTATTTACCGAGACCTTATGAATAGATTTGTTTGCTCTGCGAGGATTCACCTGAGCGTATGAAGCAATGGTTTGGCCAGTGCAAGCAGAGGGAAAAAGAGGATCATTTATTAAAGTGAAAACATTGTATAAAGAGAGAAAACTGAGGATAAACTTTTTCGTGAGAAAACTTTTTATGGTCACCTCAAACTTAGGAAAGAAACTTGTATTGGCCACTATTTTTGGTCAAACAATGAGACTAATGGGACTAAAGTGCTCCAACTCTGCTCCGACAAACACGTATGGCAGCAGTAAAACATGAAGTTGAAATAGCAGAGGTTGTTTTCACAGTTGTGTTATGTAACCTTTATGAAGGGCACATTCAGGCAGGTGGAATGTGAATTTAAAAGCCTTTCAAATACAGTTAATCTAGGAGAGGTTATGTTACATTAAAGAGAAAAGGGCGAGGATAGGGTTTACTGAACATCTAAAAGAGGAAATGTACGTTTCTCAAAGAGCAATCTCAAATGGACTCTAGGAACTAGTCTTACTTTTTCCTGTCATGTGCCTTCTCGACATTTTAGAGGAAATCCATAGTTGGGCTTACTGAGAAAATATTATACTCAAGCTTGTGCTTAACCGAATTAACATTGATTAAAACATTTCATTTGGCAGCCCTCGAGAGTTGGGTTGATTACCATTAGACGCTTTTCTTGTTGTCTTCTTTGTTGTCTTAGTGGTGCTAGTTGTTATCACTTTGTAGCCTGAATATCCTTAATATACTGTCACTTTGGCAGTTTTATTTTTCTGTGTAGTGTAATACTTACACGGACCTTGATTTTACTTAATTTGAGGCACGTTAAGTGTACATATTTTAAGTAACTACTTAAATATGAAATCTCCTGTTTCACGTGGAGACAGTACAGTATTTCTGACACACTTTCTGAAACTGACGTATTACCACTTTCTTCTTTCCTTTTTTTTCGTGCACAGCAGAAAAAAAAACATGGCTAAGAGTTTCCCCCAGCAGGGATATTTATTGCCAGTTCTGTGGATTGTCCACCCCCTACTTTTTCCCCCACCTTCCCCACTGCGGTAAATTATAGGGGAGGACGACGCTCAGTGCCACCTCTGTGTCGAGGAAGGTTCACTTTTGCTCAGGTGTTAGTCTGTAACAGGCACAAAATGTTCTTTTTGATGAAGGGTAAAGCTAGCAGACAGCTCACTCTGTCTTGGTTATTTCCTTTCTGAAAGACTTCATCAGCTCAATCAAATGACTGCATCATTTAGGATCACATTATCAGTGCAGACCATGAATACAATACAGCGCTGATAGTCATTTTTTGTGTGCCGGTGGGTTATCTCATCACATGCATTGTGTGTGTCTGAGTTCTTGTTTACAGATGATGGAGCCACTGTAAAAAATCACTGTAATCCTAGTGCAGATAGAGGGTGCATAATATATCTTTGTACAATCTACATAAACAAATTTAATGCAAAGATGACAACTAATTGATTTTACAAAAAGGAAGGAAAAAAAACAAGAGCAATAAGTATGAGGCCAGTTGCACGTGAACGTAGACACCAGATTATTTTATGGAATATACTATACTGTGTGTAAAAAAAAAAAAAAAAAAAAAAAAAAAAAAAAAGATACAAAATGATACATAAAGACTCTAATATTCATTTTGGTTAAATGAATATTAGATGAATGGTTTGGTTAAATTTCCTTTAGCATTTTAAACTAGTTACTTTTGGTAACTATCAAAAAGCATCTGACATAATTCTGGCTGGATATTTGACCAATCCTCTTGGATTAGGTAGAGTTTCTTTCAGTTGGTTGGTTTACTACCATGGAACCAGCTTTTTTTCAGTGTCCACAAATTTTAAATAGGAATAAGTTTGTGGCTTTGAGAAGGCTATTCTAGAAGCCTAATATTAGCCTGCGTTTTGGTTTTGCGTGTGTGATTTGAGATAAAGTTGAACAATTTGGAGGTAGTCCTCATTCTTCATTATTCCATTCACATTTTGCAATGTACCAGTACCACTCGAAGCAAAATATCCCCAGCGCATGATGCTACCACCACCGTGCTTTACAGTTGGCACAGTGTTCTTATTTCTGAAAGCCTCCAAACATTCCTCTTTTGGCCAAATCTCAATCTTTGTATTGTCTCACCACAAAACGTTTCTCCAGAAAGCACTTGGGTTGTACACGTGTGCAGCTGAGAAGGTCAGTTGAGGTTGAAGGTGTCAGTTTTGGAGTAGGGGTTTCTACTTCTTCTTTGTTGGCACCCTCCAAACCCATGGTGATGTAAACCTCGCTTTGCAGCGATGCTGATGTTCCAGGAGTTTTCAGTTCATGGCACACTTGTGCCTTGGTGGTTCCTGCAGTAAACAACCTAACTAATTTCCTCCATTTGAGGATGACTGACTTTGGCAAAGAGGTAACAAATCTAAATGACTTGCATTTACACACATTTGTTTGAACTGTGTGTAAGTCTAAGTTAAAAGTTGTGTATATGCAAGTGGAACTGATGATCTTGAAATCTGCAATTGTTTGAAAATGGCTCCAAGAGACCTTCCTACCTTGTATAAATTTCCCTTCTTAGGTCTTCACTGACTTCCCTGCAGTTCTGAGCATTGGTCTATCTAATGAGTGCTGCCAAATAAATCCTTTATGCTGGAAAGGAGAAATTACCAGGAATCATGATTGCTAATGAGAGGTTAATCATCATTAGAAATCATTAAAAGCTATCCCAAAAGGTTGATTCTGTTCATCTGGACGTAGCGTTTTCAGTGGGAGAAATGAACAGAATCAACCTTTTGGGATTTACTTACCTGGATGATTGAGCATGCATCAAGTACGGACATAAAAGCTATCTATCTGTTACCTACATACCTCACAGACATTAAATACATGACCAGTTTGGCTACATGTAATCAAAATATTTGCTTTTACTATAATTATGTATAGATTTCAGTGTCTAAATGCATTTTATGGTGAAAGGCCTGTATAGTTTCAAATACTGTATTTCTTGCAGTTTCTTTTTTGTGACATTATCTGCAACTAAGTCTAAGTATGGTGTACATTTACAGATTAGCTTCAGTTCATTGATCAGATCTAGATTTAGCGCTAATTAGCTGCTGTCCTTAAATAGTTGCTTAAATCTTTAGCTACCGACTGTAGGCAGGTAGCTGTTAAAATAGCACACAATAGCATTTCTTCAGTTCAGTTCCTCAGATCAGTACGTTTATAATAAGCATGGTATGCATTTATGTGGATGTCATACCAAGTTAAATTACACTGTCAGTGTAAGTGATTCTTTTGTGTGAACGATGTGACCTTTTAGTCAGATTTAAATCATATAAAACATGTTTTTGCCCGTGTTCAGGAAAGGTCACTCGGCAAACAATCAGATCTCATGGGGTTACTTTAGCAGTAAACTACAGCTTGTCTTATCTTTTCTCATTATCATGTTATTCCATAGCGTTTGTTTTAGGAAAAACAGTTAAAGGTAGGTAATGAATGTGTCTGCAAAGATACTAATATTTAAATCATAGATGTGATGAGCATGGTGTTTACATTACTTCTGTGTTTGCACATTGCATTCATTTAAGTAATCCACACACTACTGTGTTGTGAGGGTGTCTTCTTCAAGCTCGGGTCCTTTGCTAAATGCCTATGTGCAGTATCTTGGCTTTTTGTAGAACTACATTTCCTCACCCCTCAAATGTTATACTGGAAACTGACTAAAGCGAGGGGGAACAAGCCCATAATGGTCTGTGTGAATTTA